ACAACTGTTTCAGCTTGCACAGAACAGATGTTTTAATTCTAATTAGCCAGCTATTATTTAGGACAATAGGTAGCAGAGAGGCTACATTTTAGTGGTAGGTCTACTGAAGCCCTCAAGTAAAGCTTTCTCTTTTAAGGAAAACAACAAAATCCAAATAATCAAGATGATATTTGTAATGCTCAATATAAAGTAAAATAATTAAAAACATGCAAAAAGCAGTTAATGAGACCCATGACCAGGAGAAACATTAACTATTACTAAAAATGACGGATTTGTCAGAATTAGCAGGTGTCTTATATCAGCTATTAAAAATTAGTTCAAGTTTTTTGGGCAACTCTTAAACATAAGGACAAAACAATTATGGAATCTCAATAAAGAAATGGAGATTAAAACCAAAAAAAAAACTGGAAAAATATAAAACTGAAAAACCATAATATCTAAAACAAATACTGAAGAATCTTTACACTAAATTAAAAACTATAGAGGAAAAGAACAGTGAACCAGGAGTAAAAAAATAGAAACTGTACAAACTGAAGTAAAGAAAGACAAAATAATGTTGACAAAAATTAGAACCAGTCTCACTGACCTATATGATAATATTGAAAGGTCAATTATAGGAGTAATTGGGGTACCAGAGGAAAATAAAGTTGTGTTAGAAAAAAAAATTTTGAAAAGACATTTAAAGTATTGGCTGAATATATTCTTAGATTCATGATATACAAAGGTATAGATCTGAGCAACTCAGTCAACTCTAGGGACAAACACCAATAACAAACATGCCAAGGAGTGTCATAATTAAATTATAACAATAATAATGAAATTATAACATTAACAATAGTTACATTGATACATACAGGAGTAATCCTAGCATCAAGTTTTCATCATTTTTCAGGGTTCTACTATGCTGTTTAGAACCTGTTTATCTTGGCAATGCCCTTATCTCAATTTTACCTCTTTTATGTAAATTTACCTTAAATTTATATTATCACCTTTTTCAGTATTCCCAAGAATCAAGTCTTAATGTCTCTTCCTACTTTCTCCTAGTACATGTCGAAAAGGTCCTGTAGTTCCTTCAGGATACAACTACATTTTTGTAGGTCAACTTAATTCCAGTGGGGTTGATTATGACCTTTTAATTTTTGTTTATTATGGTGTAATGCAAATGAAATCATTCCAACATTCTTGGTCTAAAAAATTCTGTAACTTTTTACAAACACATTATCATGGGCTAAACTGTGTTTCACCCAAATTCATATGATTAAGGCTTTACTCCCAGCACCTCAGAATATTTGGAAATAGTTCCTTCACAGAGGTGAGTAAATTAAACTGATGCAGTTAGCGTGTGCCCCAATCCAATCTAATTTCTGTGCTTATAAGAAGAGAAAATCTGAGCACAAAGAGAGACATCCAGGAACTGGGGCACAGAGGAAAGGCCAAGCAAGGACAGGGAGAAGGTGGTCCTGGACAAGCCAAGGAGAGAGGTCTCAGAAAAAAACACACCTGTAAACATTTAGTTTTTTGCTCCTATAGTTTTGCCTTTCTCAAATATTCTTATAAGTGAAATAATATAGCATGTGGCCTTTTGAGTCTGGCTTCTTTCATTTAGCATACTACATCTAAGATTCATCTATATCACTCTATGTCAACAGTTTAATTGCTGTGATTATTTCATTATATACAAGTAGGTTGTTTATACAGTTTTGTGGTTATTAAAAAAAGCCACTGAAAATCTTTATGGTTAGTCTTTAGATTTTTGTGTAAACTTGTTTCATTTACTTGGATAAATATCTAGGAGTTGGGTATCTGGTCATGTGGCAACTATATATTGAACTTTATAAGAAAGTGACAAGTTGACTTCAAAATAGGCTATACCAGTATGCATTCTCACCAGCAAAATACATCCTTTTCAGCTTTTATAATATTTATTTGTGTATTTATTTTATTCTAACACTTTTATAAATATTTATTTGTGTATTTATTTTATTCTAACACTTTTAATAGATGCATTCTCACCAGCAAAATACATCCTTTTCAGCTTTTATAATATTTATTTGTGTATTTATTTTATTCTAACACTTTTATAAATATTTGTGTATTTATTTTATTCTAACACTTTTAATAGATGCATTCTCACCAGCAAAATACATCCTTTTCAGCTTTTATAATATTTGTGTATTTATTTTATTCTAACACTTTTATAAATATTTATTTGTGTATTTATTTTATTCTAACACTTTTAATGAATATTTGTGTATTTATTTTATTCTAACACTTTTAATAGATGTGTAGTAGTATGTCATTGCAATTTTAATTTGCACTTAGGTAATGCCTAATAATATTAAACATATTTCAATGTGTTTATTTCCATTTATATTTATTTTTACCTTGACGAAATGTCTGCTAAATATCTTGCTTCTTTTAAATTTGTTTTTCTTATTTAAACTTTAATGAGTTTTTATATGTACTACGGATACATGTCCTTTTTTAGGTATACAACATCAAAATATTTTTTCCTTAACATGACTTACTCATTCTGTTACATATTTTTCAAAAGGCAAAAGCTGTTAGTGTACATGAAGGCCAAATTTATCTTTTCTTTTCTTAATAAGTCATGCTTTTACTGTGTTATCTTAAGAATTATTTGGCCAATCCAACGTCACAAAGATAGTCTTTGATGTTTTCTGTAAGTTAAGACTCAAAGGAGTTTTACTTCTATAATTCATGTTGAGGTAATTTTTCTGTAAATTATAAAGTAAGGATTGAGGGTATTTATTTCTCATATGGATGTATAATTGTTCCAACATTATTTATTGAAGACTCTCCTTTCTCCATTAAATTGTCTTTGCATCTGTGTTGAAAATCAATTGATCACATATATAGCAAATATATATGTATACATATATACATATTTTTTAATACATGGTATTTTATTGGTTTTTCTTCCCAAGCTTCTTAATAAAAAGGCATTAGTAATTCATTAATTTTCAACTCTGAGATTTGGTTTACACATTTAACTAATATTTATGTTTATAGGTAATATTTGGCGATCTTGAGTTTATTTCAAAAGGTCAACTTCTATATTATTAAAATTCAAGATGCAAGCTTCTTGATAGATTGTTGATATGTCAGATTAATTCTTGCTTTAACAGTGCTTCAATTATTACTGAGAACTTTGTGTTTTGTACCGCACTTGATGCTCTGTAGAAACTGGATGGAGAACTTGCTATGATCATTAAGCTATTTAGGACACATGATATATAGAAAAAGGAGATAATGGTGACATCAAGTTGTACATTTATTAAATTGCTGAATTTTATCTATATGTGTATGCTAGGATAGAGAAATAACATAAGTGATGTTGTTGATTCACTTAGTCATCTCCCTGATGAGCATGAATTCTAGGTGTGAACAATGTGAGTAGAAAATTGCTGTTCCCTTACTTGCTCTGTTTATTTTATCCCTCTGTCAACATTAATACAACATTGGAATGAAAATTATTCTACATTTGTAGCTTGGCATTTTTCAAAAAGCATGACTTCACAATATTGGCAAATAAAATAAATGTGAGTAGAAGCAATGATGAGAAATGAAGAATTTTCAAGGGTAATTTTGACCTTAAAATTTAATCTCCCATATAAAATGAAACTTTTCCAAACCACACATTAAATAAGTAAATAGTGAATACAAACAAACATATATACATATGCAAAATATTTACCTTTTGTTGAAAGGGAAATATGAGAACATTATAAACAGGAGAAACAACAGAGTAGGGGATAGAATGAAAACTAACCTGCTCTACAAGACAGACTGTAAAAGAAGTGTGGTGAATTTGAAAGGACGAAATATGAGCTTAGACAGTTATTAAGGAGCCACATATATGGATTTTTACACCAAACCTATGAGTTTGATTTACCTCCAACTGGTAGTAGAGACTAAGCAGTCTTGACTTACCCAGTGGTATGTCTGAAGGATTTTATCCTGGGTTAAGAAGATGCTATCTTTGATACAGGCTAAGAAAGAATATTTCCTGTGTGTACACATAGACTTGTGTGTGTCCACATTGTTAAAACTGAAATAGCTGTCCAATTAAATAAATCTGTCATAGCACACCTTTTGCCTGAGTACAAAACAGATAAGAAAATATTTTCTTGGTTACTTCTGATGACTAATGTATCCACCAAAGTTAGAGGAATGACTTCTAACCAAGACTCAGGATCATCTACATCCAGGTCAGTAAAGAGTTATCAACTATAAATAAATACAAGCCCTGTCATGAAAACACTGTCCTACTTTTTTATTATTCAGACTTTGAGGTACTGCGTATCTTTCAGATTAATTATAAAGAGTGCCATTAGTTTTGTTCTTGATAGGAATTCTACTTTGAAGCATATACTTTACCATTACATTTGTTATAAGCATTTATTTCAGTTTAAAAAATATCTTGGTATTTCAAGTTAGCATTTGTAGCTGTTTCCCCATTTGAATCAGGCTGCATTTCCTATACAACCAAAACAAACCAAAAAGACAATATAAAGCAACCGTGATTTGTTTGCAAGTATTTTTATCTAAACTGCTTCAGTTTTCTCATTGACTGAAATATAATAAATAATGTTATCTTACAAATAAGTTTACACTCACTAATCACCATGATTATAATTTTATTTACTAGGATTTCATATAAGATTTCTTTTGGGGAAAAAAATTGTTCATTTGTTAACACTTAAATATGCCATTCTGAATTACTGATTGAGGGGGAACCTGAAAAGGAGTTGCAGCATTGACATAGAATTAGGAATGCTGTAAAGGTAAGTCTAGTTTTAGATACTCAGAGTTTGATGCAGTGACATTAATTGACACTGTAAAACAGATTTATAAATTCCCAAGTAAGTAATATATATTTGAAAGGTGTTCTAAAGAAGAAGGAAAGAGAGTAACAAAGAACCAAATTTAATTGCTAAAGGAATCTCATAATGAGAGAAAAAGAGGAAACTGCATAATATGTGTTAAACACTTTATTTCATAAAACACATTTTGAAATACACACTTTTATTAATATATTTGAATTCATACTTTAAAATAAATATGATTGTTGCAATCACGGCCTGGTTTGAAAATGCTAGTACAGTGTGCCATTTCTGCTCTTTCCATTGAGAGGTGAACTGTATTTGTCTACTTCTTTGAATCTGGTCTTGAATCTTGCTTTCACCAATGGAACATGTCAGAAACGACAATGGGAAACTTCTGAGCTATAGTCAAGAAAACACGCACTCTCAGAAATGCAGACATCACATCTGAGGTAGATCAGACTGATCTAGTATTCTTGAGAATAAAAAACACATGGAGAGAGGCCCAGACATCTAGGCATTACAGCTGAACCTCCATCCAACCCCTGAACTGGACTTAGCAGCATGAAGGAGCACATGTAAAAACAGAAGAGGAAACATCCAATTAAACTGAAGATTTGTGAGGCTTAATACATTGTAAATTGTTTTAAGCTACTATGATTTGGAGTACTGCAGTTGTTTTGGAACAATGCATAACTAACATACACAAATACAGGCTCCTTTCCTTGTTCAACCAGTTTCAATTCACAAGTATCATATTTATACCCATGTGACTTGATAAATATGGTGATATTATATAGGGTTTCCTTAAAATTAGCAGAATGGTTAATATTTATTTAGTCTTTTGTGCAAAAAAGCACATTATGACATTGATCAGTTTAGGGATCAACTCAATTTTCTAGTAGAAAGAACACAGAATTTGGAGATTAAAAAAAAAACAATTTAAAGCAACACCCTAAAGACTTTACTAACTAGGTGACTGAGTAATTTGGGGCAAATTATTTTATCTCTCTAGAACTCTGTTTCCTCATTTAGTTAAAAAGAATTATATGAGAGATAATTATCAAGATTTTAAATGCATATACATATATAATATGCATATATGTATATGCATAGTGCATGTTTTAACTTAAATTCTTTTTAACTAAATAAGAAAATAAGGATCTAGAGACAAAATGAACAAAATAATTCAATGAAAATACATATATAATAGGCATTAATTTGTATATGCCTTTAAAACCTTGAGAATTATCTATCCTAAATATATACAATATATAATCTATATTTTTAAAAATACATTAAAAATGTTTGTGTTGTTGTTTTGTCTGATTCTAACTTATAATTCAGAAAGTTCATTAGAATTTGCTTCCAGTATTTCACTTCCCTTATTTAACATAAGGTATAGCATATTCTAAAGCATGAATAGATCACTGAAAATATTGCCCCAAACGTTTTACTGAAAAGTATTTTAAGATGACTGAAACCATTTTTATAATGTTACTCGTTTCAATACTATTTTATAACATCATTTTATTTATATTCATGTTAATAGACTCTACATATTTAAAAAGTGAAACTAATGTATCTCTGTGAATCTGAAATCCACAAAATAAAACATGAATACTGAGTCACCAGATGAAGGCAAACTAAAGATATTTAAAAATATACTATGCACTTCTATTTGTCAAACAATATATTCATTGTAGTAAGAAGACTCTGCCACAGACATCTAGGTGTGGCATCTTATCCATTCATTGCTGGCATGCTAGTCAATCATATTTTGACGTACTTGACAAGTCAAATAAGGAAGAAAAAAGTATTTGTAAAGATACTTATTCAAATCTAAGAAGATCCGCTCATGAAGAAATGACATCAGAAACCTTTAATATTGACAATTTGAAGACTTATTATATGTCAATCATAAACTTTGATTTTTCTCCTTGCAGTTATTAATGTGTAATTCCATTTGTATGGCAAAAGTCACTTTGGCATTTACAGATTATAATATGTGGTATATTTTAAGTTTGCATGGTAAATTTGAATTTTCACTGAAAAATCAGGGAATAAAGTAATTTACAACAGTGACTTGTGGAATTTGTGGAGTTGATATACACAGTTATGATCTCATCAAACTACTTATGAACATCTATAAATAATTTAAAAATTAATTAAACTAGGATGATTTTTAGTTTGTGTTACTATTTGAGGTATTTGAAGACATATAAAAATACTAAAAAATTGTAGTTGTTGACTAAGAGCAAAGAATCAAAAATGAAAGTAATCTTTTGAAACTATCTGTAGAAGATGATAGTCATTGTTAGCATGCATCTCTCACTTGTAAAGACAAAATAATTCACACTGCAAACTTTTTTCCAAGAAGCAACAAAGAAACTTAACAGAAAAGTTTCATTTAAAACCACAGAGCCTTTGAAAAAACCTACACCATTCAACAGAGAGAAAACTAAGTCTCCAGAGCATGAGATTATGGACAGACTGTCACTGTGACATAGGCTCCCATGGGAGGGTCAGGAAATCCACGTCACAGAGAAAGGCCATAACCCTACCCAGTGCTGGAGCTGATTTAATGAGCAGTCTAGACTATATGAGAAGAATGCTTTGTGTGCACTCGAGACTCCAGTGGGCATGGAGGGAAGTCATTCCTGATCCTACTGCACAGGGGAGCTTGTGAAAGTCTGCCAGCTAACTCAGATGGTGGTAATAGATTAAAAGAAGCTCCCAACTTAGATTTGTGATATAACCTTTAGTGAGGATGAACTCCATTGGCCAGAACTGAGAGACAAGCAGGAAATGTGCTACTGTCATGGATGCAGGAGCTGAAAAACCCTGCTTCATGGGTGGACTGGGAAAAACATGACCTGAAAGCCACAGTTTCTGTCTCCAGCAAAAAGGTTTGTGGCCTGGGGGCAGTTTTGCATTCTGAGTGCAGAATGCCTGGGACTCAGCTAGCTGCTCCTAGCAGAACACTGTGGGTGAGAGACCTTCCTTGCCAAGTACGTGGGAGTTGCGTGGGGCTCACTGGCAACTGCTAACCTCTCACACAACATGCAGATTCTTTTGTGTAGCAGAGGCAGCTGTGCTCTTCCCTAGAACACCACTTCAGCAGACAGGAAACTCTCCCCAATCTTCATTGGAGCAACTGCTTGCACCTGCATGTAGGAAGCCAGAGGACGGTACTATCTGACTCAGCCCCCATCTGGCTTTGCCCTACCACCTGTCCTGGTACTGTAACACAAGGGGCCCTGATAGTATAACAAGGAATAAGGATCTTTGGGATCCTTCCCCTTCCACTGCCTGAGGCCCCTCCATGGCCCCTTCCACTGCCTGAGGCACCAGAGGACCTCCCCTGAGTAACATAAGGCAAGCACAGATTCCACCACCACCCATGCAGTTGGTGCTCTTTTCTAAGTGCCACCTTCTGGCTAGAGGCCAGCTGGCACAGCCCATTATAACATCTGCAGGCACAATAACAGCACTCAGGAAAGAAAACTTTTGCTCTACCTCAGCCATTGTCATTGCTTACATCAGCTTGGGTAACTAGGAGTTCCTGAACCTGTCCATGTGCTCAGTACATTACTACTGCAGCTGACATTTCAAAAAGCCAACACATCAAAACTATTTATAACCATAGAAACATAAGAGTCTATGTCACTCCCCTCCCACTCCCATCAGAGCTGATGTTGGTACTGACTGCTGGAAGACTTGAGAATAGGTCACTTCACTGGATTCCTTGCAGACATTTCCTAGAACCAGCCTGGAGTATGGCAGCTCCACTGAGCAACTAGATCCACAGCTGCAGCAGGACTCAGAGAAGTTTGCTCAGGGACTTCTATTGAAAGACCAGCTCCCAATATATCGACGTGGATTCAAGATCTCTCAAAGTGATTGAGTGGTTGGTGAAAAAGAAAAAAAAACAGAACAAAGAAACAGTTTTCTTCAAAGCTGGGCCTAGGGGAGACACTACATAAAGCTACTCCATGGATGTCTAAAATTCCCCTGAAACCTCAGTTTTTTATTAGGCTCTTTCAATAGGGGAGGGGAGTGAAGCTGCATAACAGTATGGTAATGATAATACAAAAGGAATACATTTGCAAAACTGGTGCACAAAGATCACAATGTCAGCATAGAAACCATAAACCTTAGCAAGAATAGAGGTTAAACATAAACTTAAAATCATCAGCAAGAAAAACATTAGGCTCACAGCTGCAGGGGGAACAGGATCTGACACAAGACAACCAGCCTGACCACAAAACTGCAAGGGGGGGGAGACTCCCATGCAGGACTGGAGGAGCAGTGGGAGAAGAAAGACTTTTACATCCTAGTCTCTACCACAGAGGTTTTTCCTCATGACAGACGCCCCTCATACGTCCATTTATAGGCTCTCCTTAAGAGTCACATTCCCTTTCTAGGGCCATAATCAATATGCCTTTCCTGGGAAAGGAATCAAGGTAATAAGCCTCTCCATTACACGTCCGTTTATAGGCTCTCTGCAATGAGAAGCTTATTACCTGCTGTTATCTCTCTCCAGCAGTCAGCTTATGTGGTTTGTCTCTTACACAGAGTTCCTGTTTTTACAAGAACAGCTCAGCAGAGCCAAAGTTACAAGTTACAGCTCAGCAGAGCCAAAGTTACAAGTTACAGCTCAGTTTTTCATATTATTATTCATTTTCTCATATACAATCAACACAGTGAACAACAAGCATCACAAAGCAAATAACTCATTTTAGGGAAACAAAATTCTAAGAGAATTTACAGGTTAAAAATCAATAGCAATTTCTTCTTGTTATATCAGAAGCTCAGATTTTGCCAATTTTTCCAGAAGCTTGGGGTTGTTCAGTCACCACTGTGGGGTCCACAATGTACCCAGAAGACTTCTACTCACTGGGGAAGAGGGAGTGTACCACGTTAAGGGAGCACCCCACAGAACCTCAAGTCCCTGAGCTTTTCATTTGTGGGAAGTTTCTTTCAGCAGAGACACAAGTGCAATGCTCGGTACAGTAGGGAAAGTCTACAGCTCTATCCCAACAGTCAGACAGCTCTGAGGCTCACAAAGAGAAATGGAGAAGGAGACTTCTTCCCCTCACTCACCATTGCAGACACAGTTGGGGGTTCTTCCTTGGTAACCCACCAAGGGTGCATCTGTAGACAACCTTTCATACTGTATTCTCACAGGAGTCCCCCCAGGTTGATGCTTGGACAAGAGGTAGAGTGACAATCCTTGTCTACACAGAACGTCAGCATTCCTGGAGATGAAAAGAAGTGCCTGTCTGATCTGAACAGCTGGAACACTGCATCAGGAGTGTGCCTTGGAGGTGAAACACTTTGTTGCTAGCCTAAGGGAAAGCTGTGGTGACTCCCTCCCTTTCTCCTGAAAAGATCTCAGA